CCCTCTCCCCACGTCCGCAGCTGCTCGGGACTGTGTGGGAAACCAGTGCTTCCAGCCAAAAGTGGAAATACAGGACTCCTGCAGACAGTTTTCTGAAATGTTTCCTGGTAATCCTCTGCTCAGTTTGGCAGCTTTTTAGCCTGATTATTAACGGTTCTGACAATCTTGGGGTGAGTGCTGCGGGGCCTGAGTCAGTTCTGGTGCCTGCGTTTCCTTCAGCGTCTCCAGCTGGCTCAGGAGTGCTTTCGGGGATCGGGGTCCTGGAATCCCACTTCCAGGCCCAGCTGCGTGTGGATGTCCGGAGCACCAACAGGGATGTAAGCTGGCCGGGGCAGGCAGTTCCTCTCCCGTGTGCAGTATAGGCTGAGGTCAGTCGGGAGAAGTGAATGTGATAAACCTGAGCAGAAAAATTGAAGGTTCAGCTGCTGCAGCTCAGACTGGGGAGCTGGGCAGGGTTTGTGGCTATCTGCATGAAGTGAGGGCTCCAGTTCTTTCATGCTGTTTGCACAAGACTTCCAAACTTCTGTGTCTGATTTTTGGGTTTTCCCCACTTTTTCTTTCCTTACTCTGTAGGTCAGTTCACATCCAGTCTTTCCCAAATTCCTGGTGGGCAGCGCTGTGGTTGCAGGCGTTGTTTTGCTGTGTAGTCAGAACCTGCTTTTGGCCGATGGGCAGGTGGGAGGAAGCTGGACTGAGTTCCCCTGTCCCCTCGGGAAAGGGCTGCTCAAGAGGATGAGCAGGTTCCTGGAGCTCCTTGTGCCACAGCCGGACTGACATGGTCTCGGTGCACTTTTTGAGAAACAGAGGTGTTGATTGCTCCAGGAGATCATTGTCAGAGAGAATGAGAGTTGCAAGTACATGAGAAATCTCCATTAGGAGGAAAATCAATAGTAAAACAATGTTTCAATCTATAGTCTCAGTAAGTCATTTAATTTTTAAATCTAACTCTGCTCAGAGGTGAAAACTTTTCCATTTGTGTTTTATTGAATCATGGTATTTGAGTAGTAAGTCAGTGTTGGGAAGTTTTTTGTTTTGTTTTTGTAGGAAGCCCTTCCAGTAACTCCCCAAACTCCTCACAGCTGTTTTCTTTTTAAAAAACAGCTTATTTTTTAAAAATGGAAATTTTTACAAGGTACATTTTAATTTTACGTTGCAGTCAGTAAAAGGTTCCTCTTAAACGTGGAATATATAAATTTCAGATTGTGTTTTAACTGGAAGCCAATTTTTATTTTGAGCATATATTTTATGAACAAGTTACTATTATCACTTGTTCTTACTGTAGATGTACTGCCGCAAATAATGCAGTGACTTGTACCTCTGTAGGATTTTTACAAAGACTGACACCATGAGGCATTAAACCTCTCCCTAAAGATATGAAAAAATTGAAACGACATAAAAAAATCTTCACTGAGAAACAGAGACAGAGGAAAAAAATAAAGACAGCTGGGTGAAACATGTTTCCGTTGGTTTGCGAGTTCATATTTTATTTTGTCTAGCAATCAAGATGCATTTTTTCTTTTTAGAAAATAAAAATACATCATTTTGACTTCCAGTTTGAAAAAACAGAAGCCCTACATTTACATATTCCACACAGTTTCATTTTGCACTCCTCTTTCAATTTTTGCGTTTGTATGTCATATTTGAAATTTAAATTTTGATGTTGGAATCCACCGCTTTTGTGATTTTCTGTTTCGAAAGGAGAAGAACAGTGATTTCATTTCAGCTGGGTCAGGCAGCAGCCGTGACTCCGTGGCTGCTCCTGGAGGGGGAAGGTGGCTCCTGGAGCGGCAGCGTGGGACCCCAGCTGTGTGTGCCTGTGCCAGCCCCACGTGGAGCTGGGCAGGGCAGAGGGCTGTGTGCCCTGCCTGCTGTGGGGCCCAGGGATGGCCCTGGAGTCCCTGTACCAGCCCCACGTGGAGCTGGGCAGGGCAGAGGGCTGTGTGCCCTGCCTGCTGTGGGGCCCAGGGATGGCCCTGGAGTCCCTGTGCCAGCCCCACGTGGAGCTGGGCAGGGCAGAGGGCTGTGTGCCCTGCCTGCTGTGGGGCCCAGGGATGGCCCTGGAGTCCCTGTGCCAGCCCCACGTGGAGCTGGGCAGGGCAGAGGGCTGTGTGCCCTGCCTGCTGTGGGGCCCAGGGATGGCCCTGGAGTCCCTGTGCCAGCCCCACGTGGAGCTGGGCAGGGCAGAGGGCTGTGTGCCCTGCCTGCTGGACTGGCCTGTGCTGTGGGTGCCAGGGATGGCCGTGTAGTTCCTGTGGCAGCCCTCTGTGGAGCTGGGCAGCCGGGCAGGCTCTGGCTGTGGCACGGGGACAGGCTGTGTGCCCTGCCTGCTGGGCTGGCCTGTCCTGTGGGTGCGGGGTTGGCCGTGGGGTTCCCTCCATCTCAGGGTACCTTCAGCTAATTTGGCTCGTCTGTGGCCCAGTCTTTTCTAAAGAGCCCAAGCTTTAGATGAAAATGCAGACAGAAAGGAACTGCAGTAAAAGTAGTTGTACTTCTAGTTCATCCTATGATTAATAGCAAGACTTGCTTAGAAGTTAGTCTTTGATTTCCTCTGTTTAATTGTAGCCCTAAGTGAAATGGGTTTTTGATTTATAGAAAATGCAAAATTGGGTACAGAAAGTTTTAAATTACAGTAATAGTAAAAAATTTCCCACAATACTCATCCCATATTGTTTCAATTCAAAAGAGCTAAGGCTTGATTTGTGTGGGAAAGAATCCATAGCAGCCAAGTTCCACATTTGAAACTGGGGAGAGGGGAGGATCAATTACCCTCTTTTGAGGATATAAAAATATGCCTGAACTTCACTATGTAATACTTTTATCATATATTCCCTCTCTGGAAGGTTGCATGATGATTAATTAATTTAGAATAGCTGTTTTCTTGCATGAGTACCATGAAAAAGCAAGCTAGGAAGTTTGTGTTAGAATATACAAGAACGTTGGTTTTAAAAGCAGAAGCTTTAGGAACAGTGATGGCTCATAATCATGATGGAAAACTAATCTATTTTTTTATAATTACTTGCATTATGCAGAACGGTTGAGTATACTGTGAGAGTTTTAAAAGTCATAGTGCAATAACTGCAGTAGCTTTAATAATGGCAGTTTAATTCCTAAACTGCTCTTTGGAAGTCCTGCACGGCTGATCTCACTTTTGCTGCATCGTATTTATGTTGACTTTTTCTTTCATTAGACCACAATGTCTGTGTATGTTTACAGCAGTAATCCAAAATGTTGACATTCTGGATAGTTAAAATATATTCAGTATCATTGAAGCTATTCTGGGGGAAGTGGCTTTGCTTTAACAGGGTGAGACCAAATACTGCTTTGTTTACAGGGGTAAATGCTGAAAAACACTAATCTGACCTATGAGGGTTTGCATGTGTGTTCCTGAGAATAGAGTTTGAGCCTTTTGTATTTGCTGGTTTGTGTACCAAAATACAGTTAAAAATTGTTTTGAAAATAATATTGAAAATAATATTGCAGTTGTTATTCTGGTGGCCAACATGATTTTTTTTAAAATTCTGCTTCACAGTCTCTTCTAAGATACAGTTTTTATTTGGAACACACTGAATTTACAGTTTTAATATAAAATGCTGCTTCTATTCTATTTAATTTGGCATGACCAAATGTAAAATCTAACCATAATGCACAGTATTGATCCATTAATAAGCATTTTTAAATTGTACTTCATGTCTTGGATAATTTATTGTAGTAGGATTTTAAAGTCAGGTAAGCTCTGCATTTGTGCTATAGCCTGACAGTTTAATCAAGATACAAATTTAGAAACAAATCAGCACTGTCTTTTATATAGTTCCTCTAAATCCATGGTAATTGGTAGCAGACCTCGGTAACAGGGAAGGATCGCAGTTCCATGCTACCAGTACCAGTGGGTGTTGCTCCACAGCTGCATCATATAAGAAGAGAAGATGCAAGAGAAATTAAAGGATCCCCACATGCATTTTTCTGTAATGTACCTTTTGCAGAGTCCGAGGCTGATGGAAAATTCCCTTGAATCCAGTGTGTTAGAGGGCTGTAAATAGTGCCATATGTTCTGCACACTTTAACTCCTACCTTTGGAGAGCATGGGGCGCTTCTTGAGTCAGCTTTCTTTACTTTGTAGTTTTGAAACATTTAAAAAACCCTAAAAGCTTGAATTTCAGCAGCTCAGGGAGGGGAGAATCCAAGTGCTGCTGGTGTGTTCCCTGGCTGCCCTGGGCTCCCTGCAGAGGCCTGTTGCGGGGGGCTCAGCCGTGCCAGGATGTCCCGCGCGGCGCTGGCTCGGCACAGGTTGGTCCCTGCACACCCGGGAGCGGATCCGAGCTATAGGCTGAGCTTGTGTGCTCTGGCAGCACAGATGGAGTGTGCTGTCATTAGGACTGTTTGTTGCCTGTTGGAACACACAGCATATTTCTACCGTGGCATCAACAGTTTCTAAGAACTGAGGTTAAAATAAACAGGTTGCAGTTGGATACAGGAACAGTCTGGGAAACAACTTAAAATTCCCTGCTTAGGCATTATGTTATTCCTAGACCCGTGGGTCAAAAGGCAGGGCTTTCAGCAAAGGCTCATCTAGATTTCTGCTGGTGAGTGCAGATCCTCATGGAGTTGCAGGGGTACGCTCCATAAGTTTTCTAGAGAGACTGGTGCGTGTACGCAGAAATGACCTTAATTTAAATAAAGAAGCAAATTTAAGCACAATAATTCCACACTGTTTCTCTTAGACTTTGTAGTACTTGAGCCAAGTGGAAGCGATGTCCTGGTGCCCATTTGAAAAGGGCATATTTCAGTTAGAACTCAGGCTCCGCTGCAGGTGTGGGTGGCACTGAAGGCGACAGGGCTCTGCGCAGGACTGACAGCCTCTGGCAAACCTTCTGGAAGTGGTTGGAATTGCTACTGCCCCAGCCTCCCCACTCCAGCCTGTTCCTGGGCACTGGGGCTTCCTCAGCAGAGCCTGTGAGGGGGGCTTGTGCCCAGACCTGAGCTGCTTCATGTCCCCCCCACAGGTCCAGCTGGAGCCCTTGGAAGCGCGTCACTCCCTGCGGAGCTGCTGCGGCGTTCCCGAGGCCTGTGCCTGCGGATCCAGCGTGGAGAGCCCCATCTCCAGCAGCCAGGTGGAGCAGACACCCAGGGAAAAGGGACTTCGGTGTGGGACAGAGCTCAAATGTCAGTGCCCCTTCTGCCATGGGTAAGTATTTACCAAATCAGCCCATACATAGACTCAGATTCCAGGCGATTCCTGACCCCAGGGAGATGAGTGGAGTTTTAGCCAGGGATATCAGCGAAAGCAGGGTTTAATTTGTAGTGTTTAAAAAAACAGCAAACTTTTACTTAACAGAACAAATACTTGGGATGATTTTGGCTTGAGAGAGCTGTAAGTAGATTTGTTTCCTGACAGAATCAGCAACAGTCACTTGGAAAGGTTTACTCATATTTACCTGGTCACAGTTGGTTTACAGCCATTGGAACTCTCTCCCGCTTGTTGGGCTGCAAACACACAAAGGCATAGCAAGCTGCTAGATGTTAGAGAATATTCTCATGGGTTTACTTAGAAAATGTTCTCATGGGGTTTTGTTGGGGTTTTTTTGGTGGGAGGATTAAATGTAATTCTAGTTTCAGTGGTTAAAATTAAAAAACAAGGTTATTTTTTCCTTTTCAGAAATGAAACGTTATTGAGCTGCATGGCATGCATAACAGTAAATAGTTAATACAGATATGAGCAGTGAAGTAGGGAAAAGAGGTGTCAAGAGAATTAAGAAAATTTAGAAGACTAATATGGAAAGATGTGTTTAATTCTTTTAAGAGTGAAAAAGACAACCTTCCCGTATTCTTTGTTGCTTCCAGTTTGCTGCTGTTGCCATTCTTGCTTCCCATGTCGTGAGGAGTTCAGTGGTCTGCATTAGAACCAGAGTAGTAATATTATAATCCCTTCCTTTCCATATGCTCCTTCCACCACAGTGACAGGGAAACAGCACTCCTAGAAAACTCTTTTTACTGTCTGATCTTACTGTCTCCACCAGGTTTTCTTGGCTCTTGCTATGCCCCTACACGCAGTCTGTGTGTAACCACGTGCCTTTCCATCCTTGGCCCTGGGAGGGCTGGTGCAGCCTCCTTCCCCCTGCCCCAGCACCTCTGCCCTGCTCGCAGGCAGCTGCTGAGGCTCCAGCTCCTTGTGCCTGTGCCCGAGCTGGGAACACTCTCCTCCCCCTGCCTTGAGTTGGCTCTCGGCACCCGCCGCAGATGGTCTGTACCTCATACATAATAAAGATTTTTTTTTCTTCTGAGGAGGGTTTCTGTGAATGTGAGAGGCAGACAGTCTGGCAAGCTTAGACCTGTGTTTTTATATTTTTTTCTAAGTGAGCCTTGAGGGATGTGTCTGCCATAGTTTAGAACCCCTTAATAGCTAATGGAGCTCAGTAGTGTTTTGGTGCCAGAAGTAGGAACCTGATTTGTCCACTTGATGTTTTCTTAGAGGAATTACATACATAGGCAAAATGAAGTTAGGGCCCAGCTGGACAAGACAAAGAAATTAAGCAGAGGCGTTCCAGGAATTAAAGTGGTTGCTTTAGGAAGGTGGTCTTCTACTAAAGGTATGATAGGTTTGTGCTAGCTGTGTTTGGGACTTGCTTTGGGGTAGGCTGTTAGAGGTGTGTATTTCTTACTAGTCCTAGTAAATGTTTTCCAATGAGTTCACTCTGCACTGCTTTTAGACTTGAGTAATAAATTCTGGGTACCAAAATGTCCCCAGGACCTCATGTAAGAGCCAGATGAGCATTTTCAAATGTCAGATGGTTTGGGTTCTAGGTAGCTCAACACTTTCTAGTTCCTTTGTGTGGTGCTGTGTTGGTAGGGTCACACTCAGCACTCCAGGAGCCATAAAAACAGGCCCATGTGGAGAGTTCTGCTTCATGGACCAGGCTTTGATTTTCTGTGCTGTGTTGAAGCTGCTTGCCTGCACAGGGCTGTTCTTGATCTCTGCAGTATGCTTTGGGAGCTGAAAATGTACAACATATGCAGGAAGAAAATAGTGGAAATACACTTATACCAGCACTTTTAGCAGCTGATTTGACCCCCATGAGAAAGGATATGTCAAGGTCAGATATGGGGTTGTGTGTTTTAAAAGATAAGAGGAAAAACGTTCTGAACGAAGTTAGATTTTGTTCATGATGAGGAAGAGTTTTTTCCAGGTATTTCACTCTGTTTTTCATGTTAGTGCAGTCCAAAACTGACTTGTGGACTGTGCAGTATTTGCTAAAGTACTTTGAGATTTAAGTGTCTGAAACTGCCAGCTCCTATAAGAAAAAAACCCCACTGGTGTCAGATAAGACACTTTCCCAGGGCCTGAAGGGTGTCAGAGTAAGGGGCTCGAAGGAGTGAGCAGAGGAAATAAAATATTTTGAGAAGAGACAAGCTCCAGAGAAGATGTTACTTAGACAGCAGTGGTCAGCAGCACAGGATGGTCATAGACTCATCCTCCAGGCTGGAAGGGGCCTCAGGAGGCATCTCGTGCAGCCTCCTGCTCAAAGCAGGGTCGGCCCTGGGATCAGACCAGGCTGCTCAAGGCTTCATCCAGTTGGATCATGAAAGCCTCGAAGCGTGGAGACTGCATATCCTGCCTATGCAGCCCCTTCCATTGCTTGACTGACTTTTTGAGCTGCTAGGATACGTTTTAAGCATAGAACACGAGGATTAGAGATATACTTAGTCTTAAAAATTGTTAAGTGTCATGTAATTGCATAACTGTAGAAACTGAGGCTTTAAGAACAATACTGAATATCATGAAATTTGTGATTTGATTTTAAAATTAAGCAACATCTATAAGATCAAGAGTCTGCTGCTTTTGTAAAGCAAATGTTCATCTAAGAAGGGTTTTTTCAAATAGTGAACCATATCTGTAAAGTTCTGAAATGATAGCTGCTATTATGTGCTCCTCTGCTTGGCACAGTAATTAAAGTATACATTAGTGCTCTGAGACACGTGTTTAGAAGTATGGATTGAAATTAATCACCCTGCCACTATAGAAATTGCTTGCTGAGTCCAACAGCATATGTGTTGCTATAGACAGTTGGTGTTCATGTATTCTGCATGGGTACCGTTAAATCTAATAGTTCATATAAAAAATATAAAAAGACATTTAATTGTATTAAAGATATGTAGGGGTTATTTACATATTGAACTGGTCTGGGACAGGTGTTTTTAAAGGTAAATCTTGCACTGTAACAACCACTAAGGATTAAATTGTCAAGCTACTCATACTGCTCAAGGGGTCATTGAGGTGTCTGCAGGCATCTGTGTGAGCGGGGCAGCAGGAACTCCTGCCTCTGCAGGGGGGGTCACCCCAACCAGGTTTGCACATCCACACTGCCTGTGGGGGGAGACCCTGGGGAGCGCCGGGCACAGCCCTCAGCGCTGCAGGGTGGATTTGTATTGGGGGGGTGAGTCCCTGGGGAGCGCCGGGCACAGCCCTCAGCGCTGCAGGGTGGGTTTGTGCCGGGCTGAGCTCCCGGGG